GTAGAACTGCCAAGGCGGGGCGTCGGTGGGGAAGCCCAGGAAGACACAGCGGAGAGTGCGAGGAGAGAGCTTGCTCGCTTTGGTATCGCGAACAAGGGAGAGCGCGCCCCAGACCCGAAACGACGACGCATCACCAGGCTGTCCCGTCCAACGAAGTGTGGGCGAAGTCTCTGGAGCAGAGACACGGGGCCAGAGGTTGAGCTGATGCGCGGCGTATTGGACCGCAAACGGCCACAGGAAATGGGGAGCAGCCGCATGGATCATGGAGGTACGAGCAACCTCCATGATCAGGCCAATGCGACGCTCAGCAATCCCATTTTGCTGCGGAGAGGCCGGAAGCGTGAACGACTGGGGGATGCCCTCGTCCTGACAGAACGTCTCAAGGATGCCAGAGGAGAACTCACCACCCCTGTCAGAGTGCAGACGCAGGACTGGGAAGTCCTGCTGAAAACGCTCGTGCAGCTGGAGACGAGTAGCACGGATCCAGGGGATCAAAACACCGCTGACGTCCGCCTTGCGCCGCAAGGGGAAGACGGTGGTGTAGCGTGTGTAGTCGTCAACAACCAGCAGGAAGTAGCATTCCTGGTCCGTTCCACCGACTGGGGCCGGGCCCCACACGTCCAGGTGGAGAGTCTGCAGAGGAGCAGTGGTCGGAGGAAACTCGGAGGAGTGAGGAGCGGCGCGCTGCCGCCCCTCGATGCAAGGAAGGCACGGCGGGGCAAACGAGCGCGGCAGGGGGGGCAGGGTCCTGTGGAGGCCAGAGACAAGGAGACGGGAGTGCATACTGCGTAGACGCGGCAGGGAGGGGTGACCAAGACGGTGGTGCCAGCGCTGAGTCTCGTGCATGAGTACTCTGCACGAGCAAGATGCAGTTAACTGTCTCGACGCAGACACCCAACTCGACGCAGCCACCTGACCTGACTCAGCCACCTGTGCAGACGCAGTGGTCAGTGTGTACAGACTAGACCCATGCTGTCGAGTGAACGTAGCCAGGTGACGGCCAGTCCGGGAGCACGTACAGATTGCCACACGCTGCCCTCCAGGAATAAAGGTATCAACCCAGACATCCTGAATGGCAGCGTTGCTCACCAAGTTCGTCGAGAACGTAGGGAGGTGGAGACGTGACAGAGAACCGGAGGGGACTGCTGGACAAGGGAGGACTGTGGAGGCTCTCGCAAGTACTGGGCCCCCAGAGGGGTCAGCTAGTGAGACTGGGACAGGTGCTGTGAGTGGTGTGACTGTGGTGCAATCACGAAAGAAGCAACGTGACGCGCTTGAGACAAGTGTGAAAGTGTGCAAGACCTCAGCGGAGGCAGGACCTGTGGCAGTAGACGCACTAGCACCTAGAGCGTCGGCAGACTCACGAGCACCTAGAGCTGCAGCAGACTCACTAGCACCTGGAGCGGCAGCAGACTCACTAGCACCAAGAGCAGCAATCTTAACAAAACAATAACCTCCACCACCAAGACGGCCTCGCTGAAAAACCCATTCACGAAGCTGCTGAGGGGTGGGGTCATCCGGGAGAGGCAGTGCCCGCTGCTGTCCACCCCTGGCCGCAGCAACTGCCGCGATAGTGGCCATGACAGACAGCGACGGTCAGGAGTAGGTCCAGCACCTCCAGCTCCTCCAGCAACAGCAGCACCTCCACCAGCAGCAACAGTAGCATGAGTAGCAGTAGTAGTAGTAGTAGTAGCAGCAGTAGGGCGGCTCAGTGGGGCTGGGCGGCCGCACCTCCAGCACTCCCAGCAGCACCTCCACCAGCAGCAGCAATAGCACGAGTATTATTATTATTATTACTATTATTATTATTATTACATATATATATATATTTTAGGGTTTAGGGTTGCGCGCGGCCCACGGGCTGCAGGGGCGACGCGCGGCTCGGCAGGGCGGCGCGCGGGCTGCAGGGGCAGCGCCCACGGGCTGCAGGGGCGACGCGCAGCTCAGCAGGGCGGCGCGCGGGCTGTAGGGGCGGCGCGCGGCTCGGCAGGGCGGCGCCCAGGCTGCAGGGGCGACGCTCGGCTGGGCAGGGCGGCGCGCGGGCTGCAGGGGCACCACCCACGGGCTGCAGGGGCGACGTGCGGCTCTGCAGGGCGGCGTACGGGCTGCAGGGGCAGCGCCCACGGACTGCAGGGGCAACGCGCGGCTCGGCAGGGCGGCGCGCGGGCTGCAGGGGCAGCGCCCACAGGCTGCAGGGGCGACGCGCGGCTCTGCAGGGCAACGTACGGGCTGCAAGGGCGACGCGCGGCTCTGCAGGGCGGCGTACGAGCTGCAGGGGCAGCGCCACACGGGCTGCAGGGGCAACCCGCGGCTCGGCAGGGCGGCAAGCGGGCTGCAGGGGCAGCGCCCACGGGCTGCAGGGGCAGCGCCCACGGGCTGCAGGGGCAGCGCCCACGGGCTGCAGGGGCAGCACGCGGGCCACAGGGGCAGGCACGGCTGCAGGGGCAGGCACGGCTGCAGGAGCAGCACGGTCGCATGGGCAGGTACGGCTGCAGGGGCAGCACGGTCGCAGGGGCGAGTACGGCTGCAGGGGCAGCACGGTCGCAGGGGCGAGCACGGCTGCAGGGGCAGCATGGTCGCAGGGGCGAGCACGGCTGCAGGGGCAGCGTGGTCGCAGGGGCAGCACGCGGGCTGCTAGGGCAGCGCGGCTGCAGGGGCAGCGTAGGAAGAAAAAATTTACGGTTAGGGCAGGGCGGAACGTTCGGTGGGCCCTAGGAACGATTCTGCTCTAATACTATGTTAGAATAAGCAGGCAGGACTGATGGACTAGGTAGCATGCATGAGTACAAGTACCTAACCCTAAAGTCTTGTACCCATTGTAGGCTAACCCACTATAGCCTAGAGATAACACAAACATACAGTTTGACATATTAATGTTCGCTCATGCCTTCGCTCACATTTTGTACTCGTTTGACACTTAATGCAATCCTCGCTACCTCAATTCATTGCACCCGTAGCATCTATGAAACAGTGAAGTAGCTCATGTTTTTATATAATTATTTACACTATAATTCCTCATTACCCCAGATGATGTCATAGCTTGTATAATCACTCAACCTTCATTAGCCTCTTTGCTTATTTTGAACACCGAAAGTCACTCCCATTCAGCAAACGACTTCCTTTAGTACATCATCCGTTACAGCAACGCCTTTGCCTCCAATAGGCCGCGCCCTGCTAATCATCGGCAAACCAATCCCCGTTCGACACGAAAAGCAACGCTTATAATTGCACCGCGCGTACACCCTCTTTCTCGCCATTGTGAATTCGGTTATAATGAAGTCAAGATGGGAAATGCACGGTTAACAGTGGTTAAATTACGTTTCGGTATGGTTCAATCAAGCAAATCGAAGATAACAAGGTTTTATACATGTTCGGCACAGTTCAGTGTAGCGAGAAACAGGGTGTATACACTCGCCCTTTACGAAACTGCCTGCTTGCCCACAGTAAGAACTGGTAGATTTTATAGCACATTCTCAACTTGGCCCGCCATCGAAGTTTGCCCACCAGCCCGTTTTTCCGAAGATGATGGTGCCTTTGGTGGGAACGCTCCCACTCTAACCACCGAACCTCATTTAGGCGGGCGACAGATGTCGCCAGCGTCGCATGTCCGATATCCAATGAAATTGACGCGCCAGCTCGCATACCAAGTGTTGGAGGAACTTCGTCAGGCCAAACCTAAACGGCCGTGCCTGACGATTGCGCCTACGTAAATTTTGGGCACAATGGTCATATCAAGTCAACGTGGGTTTACTTGGCAAAATCAAGTAAGCAACGCAGAAATGGGTTGCGAGGGCAGGAAAGAAATATATGCGACGGCTGTGTGCATGAAACTGGCATGTCTAACACTAGTCCCAACACCCAGCAAACGTGGCACGATCTCCATTGTCGTACACTGACGGACAGGCCAGGAATTGCGACCATGGCCGGTTGGACTCATGGTGGCCAAACTTCGAATCGCGTGGGGAAACTTTCCAATGTAAAATAATGCCACGTCAACATTTCGAGTCGCGTGGACAAACTTCTGATGGTGGGCGAACTTGAGAATGCGCCCTCAGTTGCATCTGTACTGTACAATAAACTACCGACAGCGCCGCCGTTTCTCACCAGCTTTCTGTCCTGGTCTGAGTTCGAATTGGGTTGGGACCGGGCCTGTCGAAGTTCCTGGGGCCCATACTTGGAGTCCCCAGCTCCTCCCCATCTGACCCTGTTTTGGCCGTAGCTGAGTGTTTTGGCGCCCTTAACGGTCACGGGCGCAGGCCAAAGTGAAAACTTGATATCCGGGCTTGCACTTACACTATCTTAGCTAAGGGAAATTTCGGCTACTCCAAAGCTGACTTAGGGATATCACAAACACGGGAAAAATGCTAAGGGAAAAATCCCCTTGGCGTGCTCTCGTGTAACCTAAGGAGAAAGGGGGGGGGAGTGGGGGGGTCAGGCAGAATTTCTTGGGGGGGGGGATCCTAGAACCAGAAATCAAACCTTTGTGGGTGGGGAAGGCCTGGTTGGAGCACTTAACGTATCCGGGGAAGGGTCGACGAAGCACTTAGTGGCACGGGTGCAGGGCGATCCTAACACTTTATGCAGTCGAGCTGGAGCGAAAGTAGCCCGGAATTTCAGGGCATTAAGGGCATATGCCGTCAATCGACAGGCCTGGTTGGGACTCTTGAGAGGTAACTCGCAGGCATGTTTCGATTCGACCGTTGTCTGGAATGCGGTCGATAATTCAGCGCCATAATGCACTCTTCCACCATCCAAGCCCAAGGTTGCGCTCACTCGCGAACCTTATGCGATTACCATACCACAATGATTCTTTCGCGATGAATTAGCGTCGTCGCGCAATGCTTGTGGTTTCAAGTAGCATTTATCCTTAATCCCCGACGCATTGTTTCGCACCGTACCCTATGCTCGTAAATAATCGTTCGTGGCCTCGCTAATCGCTCATCGTTCATCGCTCATCGCGGCCTCTCCATGCACTGATCGCCACTCCTCGCCAACACCGCATGGCCCCTCCGATTCCCGCTGCCGAGTCTCCCCTCCGTCGCCACCGTGCGCCTACCATTCTCTCACCGGCACTACTCCCAGTAACACTAACAGTAATAGCGCCATTCGCGCCCCTCATCCCATTGGCCCGCTTCGTCCCCTTCGTCCCGCTCGTTCCGCTCGTCTCCCGCGCCTCCCTCGTACCGCGCGCGCCGCGCGTGCCACGTGCGCCACTCGTGCCGACTTCATCCGTACTGCCACTTCTCGTGCTTCTACCGGCGCTGGTATTGCTCGGCCGTCTCCCCGCTGCCGCCTCTAGTCGTAGCTCGTCCGAATCTCCCTCCGAAGCACCAGCAGCAGTAGCGCAGCCGGCGGTGCGCGGCCGCCGCCTCGCAGCGGACGAGCCGCAGGAGTTCGCCACGTCTGTCGGCCAAGTGAGTCTGCTCCTGCAGTCGAGCGACGATTCTCGCGATCGAGGAGTCGTCGCGAGCGGGGAGACCAACCCTCGTCGCCACAATGTCAGCGAAGGTGTCGCGAATGTCGCGAGGGTCGCGTCTAACGTTCAAACAGCTGCCGTCGCCAGAACGACAGCGTGCAACGTGACAAAAGGGCGATGGACCGCTGATCCATTGCTGCCGCTGTACGACGCGAGATCGTGCCCGTTCATCCCGAAAAAGTTCAACTGCGCGTCAAACGGACGGCCTGATAACGCGTACGAAAAGTGGCGATGGGAGGTCGACGGAAACGGGTGCACCCCGCCGCATCCGACGCGAACTACTCTGTGCGAGCTACTAAAGAACAAGCGGATTATCTATATCGGGGATTCCATAATGGAGAACATGTTTTCGTCCATGGCGTGCATGGCGCATGGACTGCTGGGAACGCCGGACGTGACGCCAGGGAAGGTGGATCGAGCGTACTCGCTGCACTGGTCGCCCTGCAACGTTACGCTCACCCTCATCTGGTGCGTCCCTGCCCTGGTGGGAGGTATGTCCGGCTATTGGCGACAGGCAGGCTCTGAGGCTCCTAGCTGTCGAGTCTCCCATCCCCTGGGTGGTGTTATGTGGGACAGACAGGATTTCAGGTTCTATCAGGTGGGTCCCTCATCTGCTGGTGGGGGACAGACTGGCTCTGAAACAGCGTTTACGTTGCTTGGCGGACTGTGGTGACAGCCTCACAAGTTGCTATTCACTTGCTGTGTGCCGCCAATTCGTGTGCCCTGTGCCCGTTCACTCGCCCTCTGCCAACTCATTTGCATCTTTGCTTTCTTCCTACTCCTGGTGTTGATGCCATGCCATGGCGTGGTTTGAACTGGATGACATGTTGGTACCGCATGTCATGGCATGCTGGCGTGATGGCATGCTGGCGTGATGGCATGCTGGCGTGATGGCATGCTGGCGTGATGGCATGCTGGCGTGATGGCATGCTGGCGTGATGGCATGCTGGCGTGATGGCATGCTGGCGTGATGGCATGCTGGCGTGATGGCATGCTGGCGTGATGGCATGCTGGCGTGATGGCATGCTGGCGTGATGGCATGCTGGCGTGATGGCATGCTGGCGTGATGGCATGCTGGCGTGATGGCATGCTGGCGTGATGGCATGCTGGCGTGATGGCATGCTGGCGTGATGGCATGCTGGCGTGATGGCATGCTGGCGTGATGGCATGCTGGCGTGATGGCATGCTGGCGTGATGGCATGCTGGCGTGATGGCATGCTGGCGTGATGGCATGCTGGCGTGATGGCATGCTGGCGTGATGGCATGCTGGCGTGATGGCATGCTGGCGTGATGGCATGCTGGCGTGATGGCATGCTGGCGTGATGGCATGCTGGCGTGATGGCATGCTGGCGTGATGGCATGCTGGCGTGATGGCATGCTGGCGTGATGGCATGCTGGCGTGATGCATGCTGGCGTGATGGCATGCTGGCGTGATGGCATGCTGGCGTGATGGCATGCTGGCGTGATGGCATGCTGGCGTGATGGCATGCTGGCGTGATGGCATGCTGGCGTGATGGCATGCTGGCGTGATGGCATGCTGGCGTGATGGCATGCTGGCGTGATGGCATGCTGGCGTGATGGCATGCTGGCGTGATGGCATGCTGGCGTGATGGCATGCTGGCGTGATGGCATGCTGGCGTGATGGCATGCTGGCGTGATGGCATGCTGGCGTGATGGCATGCTGGCGTGATGGCATGCTGGCGTGATGGCATGCTGGCGTGATGGCATGCTGGCGTGATGGCATGCTGGCGTGATGGCATGCTGGCGTGATGGCATGCTGGCGTGATGGCATGCTGGCGTGATGGCATGCTGGCGTGATGCCATGCTGGCGTGATGGCATGCTGGCGTGATGGCATGCTGGCGTGATGGCATGCTGGCGTGATGGCATGCTGGCGTGATGGCATGCTGGCGTGATGGCATGCTGGCGTGATGGCATGCTGGCGTGATGGCATGCTGGCGTGATGCCATGCTGGCGTGATGGCATGCTGGCGTGATGCATGCTGGCGTGATGGCATGCTGGCGTGATGGCATGCTGGCGTGATGGCATGCTGGCGTGATGGCATGCTGGCGTGATGGCATGCTGGCGTGATGGCATGCTGGCGTGATGGCATGCTGGCGTGATGCCACGCTGGCGTGATGGCATGCTGGCGTGATGGCATGCTGGCGTGATGCCACGCTGGCGTGATGGCATGCTGGCGTGATGCCACGCTGGCGTGATGGCATGCTGGCGTGATGCCACGCTGGCGTGATGGCATGTTGGCATGGTAGGAGTGTGTTCATGGTGGAGACAGCATGGGTGGACCCCAGTGATCTATTCAAGGGAGGGCAGGTGGATGTGAGCACAGCCGACACCACATGGACGCATGCTGTGCCCTCATATGACGTCATCGTCTTTAACACTGGTCAGTGGCTCGTATGAAATGCATGGGTGGGTGAAGGTGCATGCATGGGTGGACAGGTGGATGTCAGCACAGCGGGCAGCACATGGATGGATGTCAGCACAGCGGGCAGCACATGGATGGATGTCAGCACAGCGGGCAGCACATGGATGGATGTCAGCACAGCGGGCAGCACATGGATGGATGTCAGCACAGCGGGCAGCACATGGATGGATGTCAGCACAGCGGGCAGCACATGGATGGATGTCAGCACAGCGGGCAGCACATGGATGGATGTCAGCACAGCGGGCAGCACATGGATGGATGTCAGCACAGCGGGCAGCACATGGATGGATGTCAGCACAGCGGGCAGCACATGGATGGATGTCAGCACAGCGGGCAGCACATGGATGGATGTCAGCACAGCGGGCAGCACATGGATGGATGTCGTACCCTTCTATGACGTTATGGTCATGGTGCATGCATGGGTCATGGTGCATGCATGGGTCATGGTGCATGCATGGGTCATGGTGTATGCCTGGGTCATGGTGTATGCATGGGTCATGGTGCATGCATGGGTCATGGTGTATGCCTGGGTCATGGTGTATGCATGGGTCATGGTGCATGCATGGGTCATGGTGTATGCATGGGTCATGGTGCATGCATGGGTCATGGTGCATGCATGGGTCATGGTGCATGCATGGGTCATGGTGCATGCATGGGTCATGGTGCACGCAAGGGTCATGTTGCATGCACGGGTCATGATGCATGCATGGGTCATGGTGCATGCATGGGTCATGGTGCATGCATGGACATGGTGCATGCATGGGTCATGTTGCATGCACGGGTCATGATGCATGCATGGGTCATGGTGCATGCATGGGTCATGGTGCATGCACGGGTCATGGTGCATGCACGGGTCATGGTGCATGCACGGGTCATGGTGCATGCATGGGTCATGGTGCGTGCATGGGTCATGGTGCATGCATGGGTCATGGTGCATGCACGGGTCATGGTGCATGCACGGGTCATGGTGCATGCATGGGTCATGGTGCGTGCATGGGTCATGGTGCGTGCACGGGTCATGGTGCGTGCATGGGTCATGGTGCGGGTCATGGTGCATGCATGGGTCATGGTGCATGCATGGGTCATGGTGCATGCATGGGTCATGGTGCATGCATGGGTCATGGTGCATGCATGGGTCATGGTGCATGCATGGGTCATGGTGCATGCATGGGTCATGGTGCATGCATGGGTCATGGTGCATGCATGGGTCATGTTGCATGCACGGGTCATGATGCATGCATGGGTCATGGTGCATGCATGGGTCATGGTGCATGCATGGGTCATGGTGTATGCATGGGTCATGGTGCATGCATGGGTCATGGTGTATGCATGGGTCATGGTGCATGCATGGGTCATGGTGTATGCATGGGTCATGGTGCATGCATGGGTCATGGTGCATGCATGGGTCATGGTGCATGCATGGGTCATGGTGCATGCATGGGTCATGGTGCATGCATGGGTCATGGTGCATGCACGGGTCATGGTGCATGCACGGGTCATGGTGCATGCACGGGTCATGGTGCATGCACGGGTCATGGTGCGTGCATGGGTCATGGTGCGTGCATGGGCCATGGTGCGTGCACGGGTCATGGTGCGTGCATGGGTCATGGTGCGGGTCATGGTGCGTGCACAGGTCATGGTGCGTGCACGGGTCATGGTGCATGCATGGGTCATGGTGCATGCATGGGTCATGGTGCGTGCACGGGTCATGGTGCATGCATGGGTCATGGTGCATGCATGGGTCATGGTGCATGCATGGGTCATGGTGCATGCATGGGTCATGGTGCATGCATGGGTCATGGTGCATGCATGGGTCATGGTGCATGCATGGGTCATGGTGCATGCATGGGTCATGGTGCATGCATGGGTCATGTTGCATGCACGGGTCATGATGCATGCATGGGTCATGGTGCATGCATGGGTCATGGTGCATGCATGGGTCATGGTGCATGCATGGGTCATGTTGCATGCACGGGTCATGATGCATGCATGGGTCATGGTGCATGCATGGGTCATGGTGCATGCATGGGTCATGATGCTTGCACGGGTCATGATGCATGCATGGGCCATGGTGCATGCATGGGTCATGGTGCATGCATGGGTCATGCTGCATGCTGTCCGCAGAAGTACGTACCATCATCTCATTCCATACGGGTAGGATGAGTAAGTGACGTGTGTCATTCTCCTCGCATGCTCACACCAGCATGACATCGCATGAGCACAAGCATCGTCCAAGCCTACCCGCACGGCCTCCCCAATACCTTCTTCTCCTGCCCTCACCTCCTCTTTTCCCCGCCTGCCTCCCCCAACCACCTTCCGGTTCCCCTCCCCTCCTTCCCCCTCCCCGATCATCAGGCAATCGGTGGAAGCCAAGGCAGCTAGAGCAATACGGACTCACACTCAACCCACCCTTCCACAGCCTCTCCAAGCCCTTTCCCCCCTTCCCTCCTTGTCTGCTTCCCCAAACCACCTTCTAATTACCTCCCCTTCCTCCCCTTGCACCCCCTATTCATCAGGCAACTGGTGGAAGCCAAGGCAGCTAGAGCGATACGGACTCACACTCAACCCACCCTTCCACCACACCGGCATCGTCGAAGCCTACCCGCACGGCCTCGCAACCATTCTCACCGCTCTCCACCGCTGGCAGCGCGTTACCGCCCGCGCGTTTCTGGTTACCAGTGTGTCTTTTCAGTTCAACGCCAGCTGTCCCGCCACGCAGCCCATTGCTGACGTGGCGACAGCACGCACAACGATGGCGGCGCTGACCCGGCGGAAGAACGAGGTGTTGAAAGCGGTGCTGCAGAGGGTGGTGGAGGAGGAGGGGAGGGAGAGAGAGAGGGATGAGGCGGAAAAGGATGTTGTGGGAAGAAAGGGGCAGCAGGGGCAGCAGGAGCAGCAGGAGCAGCAGGAGCAGCAGGGGCAGCAGGGGCAGCAGGGGCAGCAGGGGCAGCAGGGGCAGCAGGCACGGTCAGCACATGTAGGGGGCAAGGCAGGTGTGCGGGGCAGCAGCATCCGCTTGCTGGACATCCACGACTTGTCTCTCTTCCGCCACGATGCACGGCCAGCAGCGTACCATGGCAGGCAGAGCAGCCTGCATGATTGTGCGCATTACTGCGTGCCCGGTGTGCCCGACACATGGAATGAGCTGCTGCTGGGGATGCTGGCCGAGTGACGGCATTCTGGCATGTGTGCAGCGCAGCAGCATGCGGGTGTTGGACATTCACGACTTGTCTCTCTTCCGCCACGATGCACGGCCAGCAGCCTACCACGGCAGGCAGAGCAGCCTGCACGACTGCGCTCACTACTGCGCGCCCGGTGCGCCAGACACATGGAACGAGCTGCTGCTGGGGATGATGGCCGAGTGACAGCCTGCTGGCTGCTGCTTTTAGAGATGATTCGTCTTGCAAGGTCATCCAGCCGGCATGACTGCTCGCACTACTGCGGGCCTGGTGTGCCTGACACATGGAATGAGCTTCTGCTGGGGATGATGGTCGAGTGATATTCTGCTGGTCGCTTGTTGGTACAAGCCTACTTGTGTCTGCTGTACCTACAGGCTCATCCATCCTGCTGTGCATCGCTACGTCCCCGGCTTGCCTGAAATGTGGAACGAGCTGTTGCTGGGTATGATGGCCGAGTGACGGCCTGGTGGTTGCTGCCACTAGAGCTGATGCATCTTGCATGCCAGTCCACCCAGCCCGCATAACTGTGTGCACCACTGCAACAAGCCCCGTCTCCCCGACACATGGAATACGCTGCTGCGAGGGATGATGGGTGAGTTGCTGCTGCAAGGGGTGATGGGTGAGTTGCTGGTTGCTTGTGAAATCCGGCCTACTGGTACCAGTCCACACACAGAGCATCAAGCATTTGTTGGACACACTGCTGCTGTGGATGATGGGTGAAGCCAAGATATTCTCCTTTTCATGGCAAAAACGTGTGGGGGACTCTTTTTTACCAATTTTCTGTGCTGACATAAGGCAAACCTCACATGCAGTTACTGGACCCGAGAAGGATACTGTCACATATGTAAACGTTGCAGCAGGTGTAGCAGGTGTCACATACGGTATGTCCATGATGGTGGTGACCACTGTGGTTGCCTCTGTTTTGCCTGTTGCCTCTCCTCTGATCCACCGCACTACAATTGCTGTTATTTAGGTATTCTCTCTACCCCCAATGAAAAATAGAAACCCCTGCGTGTTAACACCAACCACCATGTCGATAGGTAGCCGTAGCCATGCCGACAGGAACCAGATCACTCAAATATAGTGCACAGGAGTTTCCGACAACACTCAAATACGGTACCGTAATCTCCCGGACAAAACACCCCCCCATATGATAGTGCACCCCCGGGTAGCTTGTGCGGGGTGGGTGCTATGGGCGACCTCGTTTCTACTATACCCCCCTTTTTGGATGATTTTCTATAACACCCCCCTTTTCTTACGGATTCCTATTATAGCTGTTATCGAGTCTGATTCCTTTCAGGAGAATATTGCGAGAATCGCTTCCTAGATGAAATTTCGCGTGTACTTGCACTTACCAGAATCCGCCGACATTTCCCCCTCCCACAATCTCGCTGTCGCCACCCTGGCAAATCTTTCGCTGCAAGTGGACATTTCCCCCATCCCACATTCTAGGAAGTCGCCACGCTGGCGAATCTTCCGCTGCAAGTGGCCCGAAAGGTGAAACTCACATTCTCGCCAAAACTCACATTCTCGCCTCAAACTGTGATGTTGAAACGACCATTGAAACACCCAAACTGTTGCATTAAAATATACCATATATAACCACCCGGGTATTATATAGGATTTTCCGTTGAGAGGACCCCCCCCCCCCTTTTTTCCCTGTGGTTATCATAATACCCCCGGGTGTTATGTCCGGGAGAATACGGTATAACTCACACAATAATTGCACTGCGCAGGTGGTTTACCGTAATCCTCCGAAAGCCCCCCTCCCCAACCCCTTCATTTTTTTCCATTGTATTGTATTCCCTGGATAGAGACCTCCCTTTCCTTTTCGTCCCAGGTCTTAACATCAGCAGAAGGGATAACGATTTTTCCTGAGGTAGCCATTGTGGAAACGTGGCCAATGATGGCATTTTGAGCTACTATCTTGAATCTCTGGCGGGCATGGAAAAAGAGCAAGGAAGGATAGAGTAGAGATCATCAATGGGCGACGGGAGGCCGATGATATAGACAAGCAATTGAGTAGCTTGAGAGTTCTGATATACGGTAGTCTGAACACTATTGTTCTCACCTCCCACATCGTCTTGCAGTTGCCTGTGCTCTGCTGGAATCTCTGCTCCACATTCAACATCAGGTGCTCCAAATTCAACCTCAGGTCCTCCACCCACTGCCACCCCTTCGTTGTTCCCAACTCCCTCTTACACTCGGCCAATTCCTCTTTCAGACGTGCCAACTCCTGCTTACACTCAGTCAACTCCTCCTTCACAAGTGCCAACTCCCCTTTGAACGCGTTTAATTCCTCGTTCACTGCTGCCAACTCCCCTTCCGTTGATGCAGAAACCCCTCTCAACAATCCGAGCAGCCCTCTCACTGCTTCAGTTAACTCACTGGGCTCTGTTTCCCCAGCCATGGTGCCGAATTACCGTCCTCACGTGCCCAAATCCTAACTCCTGTTACCAATGCTCGAGTTCAATCCGCCCTGGTAATCAAGAAAAGTGGAAGGAAGAAAAATACAGGCAGAGCAAAAGTAGTGCACCAGGAATTTGCAAGGGAGAAATGGGGAGCAACAAATGCGCGACGAAGTTGTCGTACCGGTTTAAGGAGGAACCTTCTGACTAGCCGAGAGAACTAACGAGAGATGCGCAGGAAAGAGGGGTAAGTCGTCCTGGAGGCATAAGAAGGAAAGCCTGGTGGAGACAGTAAAGTGGGTACGCGGGCAACGTGGGTGCTCGGGCAACGTATATGAATTGCTAGACTGTGAAGACGATGCGACACGAGAAGGCTTGATGTGCGGTCACCAGGACGCGAACCGAGGCGCGGTTCATGGTAGTAAGAACCCTCGTTTTTCCCCCTCGTCTCTCCCCTCTTCTCCCCAGTGGAAAACGAGGTGCGCTGTCGCCATGCCAGTCAAATGGCGAGATTTAGTCATCAGACGACGGACAGGCGTGAAATAGGCGTAAGTGTGGCGTGAGATACTAGGTGTAACATAGACGTCACTTTCCGTGACATGCGCTACGATATTATCGAAATGAGGGTATGTCCCACACATTCGTGTGAATGTGGCTGAATGGCAGGGCTCTCGTTATCAGACCAAATTGGTCTGATGGTCTGATTTTCAGACGTAGATTTTCGCTTTCATCTGATCTCTAAGACGATGCTTTTTATTTCGTCTGATCCGTAAGATGGCTGATTTTAGTTCATCTGATATTTCAGAGCAAGCTCTATAGTTAGTCTGAAATTTCAGAGAACGAGTTGTTTTTCGTCTGATACCGGTCCCCCTCCCCCCAACCCTCCCTTTCCCCCCCGATCTCTCGCTACTCTACCAGCTCAGCCCCCCCTTCTATGCCCTCGCTCCTCTTCCAGGCCTAGTCCTGTCCAACCCTTCTCCCCCTTTCCCCAACCTGAGGTCTCTCCAGGTCTCGCTCCCAGCCTGGCCCGCTTTCATGCCCCTCCTAATGTCTCGCAGCCCAGCCCCCCCTTCCCTTCGCGTCCCTCCACCTCCACCCACCCTGATCCCTCGCGTCGCAGCCCCTCATTGTCATGTGCGTGCCCCTCAATAGCCACACAGCTGTCTGTCAGCTAGCGAGCTGTCAGCACCGCGCCAGGGGCGCGTTCATTAACAAAACAAGCGTGATTATGTTAGACAAGTGTGTTAGCTAAATCAGACTGTGCAAATTGAATCGTATGAAGAATCAGACTAAGCTTTAACATTCGTCCAAAAAATCAGACCAAAAAAATATGCCCGTCTGAACGTCAGACGGAACGGTTTTTTTACTTAGGTATGTCAGACAGGCCCAAATCCTAGCAAGAGCCCTGCTGAATGGGATGCTTGACTTGGTGCGACGGTGCGACGGTCCGCTAGGCATCTAGTTTGGTTGGGCAAGGTACGGTGCATACAAACTCGTGAGACACGTTTTAAGACCCCTTGTTACCGTGATTTATAACATTCTATCTTCTGTTCACAAACATTTCAGATATCCAAGCTCCCACTCAAGTTACCTCTGTATCAGAGTTTGGATTCCCCAGCATAGCATAGGCGGTTGTCAGCCCAACTTAATCAGTCCACACTTCAATCCTAACCTCACAAAGCGACTAGAAAAGGGCGTTCAACATAAATGTCTTATTAAATAGGGAGAAAGAGAGCACGGCTACAGAAAGAGTTACAGCAGGCCAACGGAAAGGTACTTGGATGAACTGAGAGGTGCATGGTCCGAGTCTATAGGGCTCCGAGGTGACTTCTGAGGACTTTTGAGGCGACTTCAACGTTACCTCAGGGCTACAGGAGATGCTACAACAATGGGCCGCTGGAGAGGTACTTGGCCGATTTGAGCGGTGCCTGGTCCGACTCTATTATAGGGCTCTGAATCTCCACCTGCTCCCCCTCCTGCCCCACCTCCACTTCCTCCATTCTCTCCCCCTCCTGCACTTGCATGCCATTCTCCCCAGCAGCACCAGCTCCCTTCTCCTTGCCCTTGCTGCTGCTGCTGCTGCCAGGCCTGTTCCCTGTGCCACGTGGCCAGCACTGATTGGCCCAGGCTGCAGGCTTGGACGAGGGAGAGAGTGCCGATTTGGGGGAGAGGGCGGGGGGGTGGGAAGATGAAGGTGAGGGGAGGGAGGAGGTTCGATTGAGCGGGGCAGGGGAGTAAGGCGAGGTGATGAGAGTACGAGGTGACTTGATCGCACCAGCACCAAAACCAGCACCACCAGCAGCAGCAGCACCAGCACTCCCTTCTGGCTTGTGGGTGCCTCGTGGGGAGGTGAAGCTACCAGAACCGGCAGCATCAACCCCATTGCCAGGACTGCGAGGGGAAATGCGCGGCGAGGCACGGTTGGAAGCCGAAACGTTGCTGTTGCTGGCCGCACTGGGGTGGGAGAAGTCTGCTGAGGCATCCTCGTCCACCGTGGGCAGAGGGAGAGGCGGAGGGATGCCAGATGCGGTGAGGGAGGCCCCGAGGTTGGCTGCTGCTGCTGCTGCTGAGGTGGAGGCGGTGGAGAGGGGCAGCATCTGAACGGCGTCCTCGTCTTCTTCTGCGAGCGCCAGCTGGATTTCTTCTAGCTGCCGCACAACCTGCGACATGGTGGGGCGGTTGCGCGCCTGGGGGGGGAGCAAGATGGGAGACGAGGGGGGAAGAGGGGGGAAGAGGGGGGAAGAGGGGGGAAGAAAGGGGAGTAAGATGGGGAAAGGTGTGGTGGAAGAATGGAGGGAAGGGATAGGACGATATGAGGAGATCGGAATGTGTCAGTCAGGAGATAGGACTATACAATGCAAGACAGGCTGAAGCTCTCCCTTTGCTAAGTGTCTCCTCATCAGCCTACCTAAATCTCCTTAACAACCCTCCAGCCCTCTAGCCCACTGGCCTTCCAGCCATCTAGCCGTCTAGCTGTGTAAACTCTAGACGTGCAATGCAATGCTCTCGTGGATGCAGAGCCCACCTGCATCTCAAGGCACACGAGGGCCAGCTCCCCCACGGCCTGCAAGGACTGCACCACCGCCTCTGATGCCACCTGCAGCTCTGAGGCCGTCAGGTGTGCCTATGATGTGCCTACCTCAACCCCACTAGGACCCTAAACGATCCACACGGCCCACCTGCATCTCAAGGCATGCGAGAGCCAGCTCCCCCACGGCCTGCATGGACTGCAGCACCGCCTCTGACGCCGCCTGCAGCTCCCTTGCTGCTACCACGTCCACCCGCCCCGCCTCTATGCGCGGTGACGCCTGCAGGGGAGACAAAGGGGAGGGGGGGAGACAAGACGGAGCTGATACTATGTTTGGCAAGAATGAACCACACTTGGGTCATCTTAAAAGAGTGAACAACAGGAAAGTCCCTTGCTGCTACCACGTCCACCCTCCCCGCCTCTATGCACGGTGACGCCTGCAGGGGAGAGAAAGGAGGACGAGGGAACCAGGAGGTTCGAGGGACGTGGGGTAAACAAGCTGTGCGTTACTCACCCATTCAACGAGGTTCATGAGCCGGTCCTCATCGTCGTCCTCGTCATCATCGTCACTGTCCATGTCATGCACCTGCCTGCCCTCCACCCCTCCTCCTCCTCCTCCTCCACCTCCACCTCCACTATCGCCACCAGCACCACCAGCAGCAGCACCATCAGCGCCAGAAGCACTATCATCAGCAACACTGCCTTCGCCAGCAGCAGCACTGCCAACACCACCAACACCACCATCACCACCATCACCACCATCACCACCATCAGCACCATCACCACCAACACCATCACCACCATCAGCACCATCACCACCAACACCATCACCACCATCACCACCATCACCACCATCAGCACCATCACCACCAACACCATCACCACCATCAGCACCATCACCACCAACACCATCACCACCATCACCACCATCACCACCATCAGCACCATCACCACCAACACCATCACCACCATCAGAAGCAGCGCCAGCGGTTGTGGCGGGGGGAGCGCGGGGCTCCATCCAGATGGGGACCTTGCCGGAGATGAGCTCCAGCAGGATGACCCCGAAGCTGTACACGTCACTCTTCTCCGTCAGCTGCTGCTTCGTGTAGTAGTTGGGATCCAGGTAGCCTGATAGAGGGGGGAGGGGGGAGGAGGGTAGATGAGTGAGGAGGGAGAGGTGCTTCATGTCTGAATTCATGAACAGCATGGGATGGGAGAGTGCCTTTCTCCATCAGCTGCTGCTTTGTGTAGTAGTTGGGGTTCAGGTAGCCTGGTGGGGGAGCGAAGGGGGGAGGGGAGATGGGTGGAGGAGGGACAATGAGGAAGGATGAGCAGTTCATGGAATCGCATCTTTCTCCGTCAGCTGCTGCTTCGTGTAGTAGTTGGGGTAGGAGGGGAGACAAGGGAGGAGAGGGAGATAGTCATGGCTACCTTGACTATTCCTTGACAACCGTGATTGCCCTCATGTGGACGGCACCGTAGTCCTCTTGACCCACTCACTCACCCATGGGCCGTTGACCATGTTTGACTCGCGTTGACTCACCCATGGTGCCCTTGACGTTGGTACTAATGAGGTCCAGTTGTGTGCAGCTCACAGCCTGCTATGCCAGGCATGTGTAGGTCCAGTTCAATCGCCAGCTTTGCACTCCAAGGCTCGTTGGCTTGCGTTGACTCGTGGTTGACGTCCGTTGACTCGCGGTTGACTTGTATTGACTGACTCACCCATGGTGCCCTTGACGTTGGTGCTGATGAGGTCCAGGTGCGTGCCGCTCACAGCCTGCTGTGCCAGGCGGGACAGCCCAAAGTCCGCCACCTTGGCGTTCATCTGATAGTCCAGCAGTATGTTGGTCGTCTTGATGTCGCTGGGGGAGTTGAGATGTAGGCAGGGGAAAGGGGACAGAGAAAACGGCATAGATATGGGTGCATGGGAGCAGTAAAGCGCGATGTTCAGAAGGAGAATATTAAAAGGGGGAGTCCAGTCCACATGAAAACATTAACTTGCTAATGACAAGTAGCGGAGCGAGACTTCAAGAGGACCAACCGGTGGATGACAGGTGGCAGGGCGCCTCGGTGCAGGTACTCGATTCCTCTGGCTGCTCCCAACGCCACCCTGAGGCGAAGGTTCCAGGTCATTTCCCGAGCCTTGTCAGCATCTGAAAGGCACAGCGAAAAACAATGCAGAGTGGAATAAGTCCTTCGGCAGTACCACTGGCCATAATTTCTGGTTTGGCCTAGCAGTGCTGCCAGTGGTGCTCCCAGTAATGCTGCCAGTGGTGCTCCCTGTAATGCTGCCAGTGGTGCTCCCAGTAATGCTGCCAGTGGTGCTCCCAGTAATGCTGCCAGTGGTGCTCCCAGTAATGCTGCCAGTGGTGCTCCCAGTAATGCTGCCAGTGGTGCTCCCAGTAATGCTGCCAGTGGTGCTCCCAGTAATGCTGCCAGTGGTGCTCCCAGTGATGCTGCCAGTGGTGCTCCCAGTAATGGTGCCAGTGGTGCTGCCAGTGGTGGGTTGACATGCATCTTTTCACTCACCATGCAGTGCATGCCTGAGCGTGCCATTGGGCACGTATTCATAGACGAGCATGAGGCGCTGGTCGTCCTCCTCACAGAAGCCAATGAGCGACACGAGGTGGCGGTGGTGCAGGCGCGTGAGCAGCTCGACCTCGGTGACAAACTCCTTCTCGCCCTGGTCCGACCCCACGTCCAGCCGCTTCACCGCCACCATGTGCCCACTCTCCAACTGCCCCCGGAACACCTGTTGTTGGGGATTGCACGCGGAGGGCGGGTGGGACGGGGGAAGTGGTGGAGGGGAGGGGAGGGGGGGAGGGAGGGAGGGGAGGGGAGTGGGTGCGGGTGGGAGGGGAGTGGTGTGGGAGAGGGTGCAAAGACGTTAGCTGCCTCCCTCAAACCCTCTCACGTGAGCAGCTCAACCTCGGTGACGAGCTCCTTCTCGCCCTGATCCGACCCCACGTCCAGCCGCTTCACTGCCACAATGTGCCCACTCTCCAACTGCCCCCGGAACACCTGTTGGGGATGGGCAGGGGGGGTGGGAGGGCGCACGGGGAGTGGGAGTAGTGGGAGAGAAAGCAGGAGAGGCAGATGAGGCAGCTCCCCCAACGATGACACCTTCTCACGCCTGCTTATATCCACAATACCAACTCTGATGTGGCTCCAGAAATTCATGGAGCAGCTCAGGGCACATGATATAACTTTCACGTGGTCTCATATGACGTGGTCAGGCCATATGTCTTTCACGTGGTGCACACTTGGCCTGACCCAACCAGAAACCTTTGGCAGCGGGACGGAGAGTTGCACAGAAGATTGGAGAAGGTGACTGACCTGTCCGAACCCTCCCTTGCCGATCACATTGGCGGGTGCAAAGTCGTTAGTGGCCTCCCTCATCTCCTCCCACGTGAAGCAGTGTGCTCCAAACGCTGATATCGCCTTGCTCCCTGCCCCGCCGCCCCCACTGCCCCCTCCGCTGCTGCCGTTCATCCCTCCGCCAAAGCTGCTGCCCATGTACGACACCGAGCCTGCGGCGTTGGCTCGGCGGTTGAAGCGGCTGTTGGGTCGGGCGCCCAGGAGCTTCTCCTTTTCGGCTTCAGCTGCTGCCGCTGCTGCTCTGCGCGCATTGAGCCATCTCATGCCTAACAGCACTGCCAGGGCGATAGCTAGCACAAAGACTGCTGACACCACTCCCAGCAGGATGCCCTGGGGAGGGAGGCGGCAGAAGAAGAGCAGAAACGGAGAGGGGGGACAGCGAGACACGGAGAAGTGTGGTTGGGGACGGCGGGTGGGTGGGCAATCGGAAGAACAAAGAAAAGGTACATTTCGTTTCAGAAGATAAAAAATCTTTATACTGTCATCCCAACCCAACTTCAGCAACCATACAAACCAACCAGACGCACCCATCCACAAACCTTCAGTTTCTAGCCCACTGCGCTGCGAATGCATATCAATCTAATCCCTCCCTCAGCTAAGCCCTCATGGAGCACAAGGAGTTGGGATCTGAGCCAAGGCAAGCCCCTCAGCTGCACAACCACAGCGAGTCACCTCAGCAACCTGCCGGTCTGTCGCCTGCAATGGAACCTAATCCTGTCACTCGCGCCATACCTCCTCCTCCCTCCCCCCCCCCGCACCGTTCAACTCTACCATATCACACCTCCATAAACACCCAATCATCCCTGCATGAATCGCTCAATCCCGCACCTCGCCACCTTGTACCACCAACCAAACCATGCACCGCTCTGCACCACATTGCATTGCATGGTACCCGCCACACAGACTGCACCACCACAATGGCCTCCGATTGCTGCTGTGCCGCCTGCAGAGTGGCCTTGAACGCCGCCTCGCGCCCCTCCTGCCACTGCAGCACGTGAAACACCCCACTGCTGCACCTGCCAGCTTGCCTGGACCGCTCTGCACCGCACTGCAAAGCATCGTACCCGCCAGACGGACTGCACGACGACAGTGGGGTCTGCCTGCTGCTGTGCGGCCTGCAAAGTGGTCTTGAACGCCGCCTCGCGCCCCTCCTCCCACTGCAGCATGTGAAACACCTCCACTGCATTCACAAACGCGTCCCTGCGTGGGGGGAAGAGAAGTGGGGGAGATCATAGAGTCGAGGCGGCAGCATAGAGAGGAAAGGTTTGAGTTGACTGCGAGGCCCTCCTCCTCCCGCCCCTTATGCCACTGCAGCACATGGCACACCTCCACTGCATTCACAAACGAGTCCCTGGGAGAGGGGGGGAGAGATACGTGGACAAACGGGAGGTGGGATGGAAAGGAACATATTGGCTTGAAGCCTTCATCCGCCCCTCCTGCCACTGCAGCAAGTGGCACACCTCCACCGCTTTCACGATCGCGTCCCTGGTTAGTGGACGAGCAGGAGGGGAAGGGAGAAAAACGACGGTAGGGATAAGGGAGGGAATACGGTTTGGGTTGAATCTGCGGCTTCCTCGCGACCCTCCTGCCACTGCCGCACGTGAATCAACCTGACATTTTTTCTTAAATTCCCGTAAGGGGGGGGCAGCATACCACGTGAAGCCGGTGTTGTCGGCATTTTTTTTTCCTTCTTTTTCTTTTTATTTTTCTTTCTAGGAAAGTCCAACTCGTACGTTTACAGCTCATTATTCGTGGCCCAGGACGGCAAGAAACGGTGTAGAGCGATTCTCGCGCTTCACCGTTATGCACCGTGACACAACGGACTAGACCGCTAAGAACGTACAAGAAACGTACGAGCTGGACTGGACACCCCCCCCCTTAGTCGACTCAAGAATCCAAGTAAGGCGCGGGCAGCATACATACATAGTACATACCATGTGAAGCCGGTGTAATTGGCGTTGGCAATCTCGATAGTGAGAAAGCCAGAGGCGTTGCTGGTGACTGGCAGAGGCGGGTGGGGCAAGGGGTTACAGGCAGTGGCGAAGCAGAGGGGAAAGCAGGCAAAGGAAGAGGATCGGTTAGGGAGATGTGGTGGCTTAGACGTGACAGGAAGAGGCGATGCAGAGAGGGGATGAATGGGAGAAAGGACAGAAGATGTGCGGCGGGGGATGGGAGAGAGGTGATGGGGATGTAAAGGGAGATAGGGTAGGGAGGAGCGTAAGCAGAGTTGACTTTCGAGTCGACTCAGAAGGAGGACAGAAGATGTGTGGAGGGAGATGAAAGTGAGGTGATGGGGGGATGTAAAAGGAGATAGGGTAGGGAGGAGCATAAGGCGCATCAGAATAGAGCAAGGTACCTCAAGAATAGAGCGACGGGGGGGGAGAGAGGAAAAAGATGATCTCACCGTAAAGCTCCTTGGCCAAATAGTTGGCGGGCGGAGCAAAGGCATCAAAGGGCTTCACAGCCAGCTGACCGTCCACGAACACTTGCAGGAAGCGCGCCCCCTGATGTGCCACATGTGATGCCACGCCATACCACGCCATGCCACGCCATGCCTCGTCATGCCACGCCATGCCATACCATACCATGCCACGCCACGCCATGCCATTCCATGTGGTCCCGTGCAACGCCGCACATCCCATGGCATATGTCACAGCACATGTCACAGCACATGTCACAGAACATGCGATAGCAGCATATGTAGCAGCACGTGAGAAACACACGACAGTAAAGCAACAATGTCAAACAGTGCAGGGCAGTGCGCACAAGCAGGTGCATGGTGGGTGTACGCAGAGAATGAAAGGCCATGGCATCGGACAGTATGCATGGTGCTGCATGGCATGGGTTGGCATGGCGAGGCATGGCATGGCATGGCGTGGCGTGGCGTGGCGTGGCGTGGCGTGGCGTGGCATGGCGCGTGGCGTGGCGTGGCATGGCGTGTGGCATGGTATGGCATGAAACAGAACAGCCCGTCGTACCGGAAAATCAAACAGCCCGTCTCGGAAGCCGAGGAAGACAGCAAGGGGCGTGGAGGGCGGCACGGGGAAGACGTACTGCAGCGTGTGCGCCTTGAACCGCGCCTGCGGCTCCGTCTCGTGCCCGTTCACAGTTGTGCGCCATTTCTGCAGGGTTGTTTGTCAGAGGCGGGCGTGATGCACGCGATGCAACGCAGAAACAAGGGGTGGATGAGATTGGTGGCTTGGCTTCGCTTGCTGAGGGCACACGCCCCCATCTGCTTGCTTTCCCAGTCTGGCAGACAAACGAAACGCGAGAGGGGCGAAAGTCAGAGCAGATTGGTGAGGCGACGAGATTCGTGCGAGAGGCAAGCACAGTGGACTTTTGAGTCGACTCAAAAGTCACCTCGTTACAATTGCAGGCGACGAGATTCGTGAGAGAGGCAAGCACGGTGGAATGCAAGAGACGGGGCGAGTGCTCGAGAGATGAGCCGTAAGGCTTAGATGCAAGCATGCATGCATGAAGCATACGCATGGAGGCAGGGGAGGGAGTACTGACAGTGAATACGGCATGGAGGCAGGGGAGGGAGTACTGACAGTGAATACGGCATGGAGGCAGGGGAGGGAGTACTGACAGTGAATACGGCATGGAGGCAGGGGAGGGAGTACTGACAGTGAATACGGCATCTGGCGGCATGTTGGGGTTGTCTCCGTTCTCCATTGAGAACAGCGAGTTGTAAATCTGTGGGCGGGGGGGAGAGGTAGAGGGGGAGAGAGTGAAGGCAGGGAGCTAGATTGAGTGAAGCAGGGAGTGACTGAATTGAGAGAAGGAGAGTGGGGCAGAGATACGGCGAGTGAGGGGAAGGGAGACATGGTGGGTGGGTATTGGAGGCCGATGATTGGTGAACAGAGGAAGCAGGGGAGTGAGAGAGAGATAGTCAAATGGGACGAAAGATGGAGGAGAGTGAATGATAGAGAAATCAGGAAGGCATACGTAGAGCATTAGGTAGATTTAAGCTGAAGACAGTAGGCGGTTGACAAAGGAGAGTGAAAACAGAAGGGACGAAGGAAAGGAAGTAGAAAGAAAATGACGCAAGGAAAAAGGGAGGACGATGAATGGGTGTAAGCGAGGGCCGAACGACTGATGTGGATCGAAATGATTGAAGAAGGTTGTTACTCGGTGTTACATGAAGCTGAGGAAAGAAGGATCATGGGGAGCGAGGAGGTCTGGCAACTTTTGAGCGTTCCCACTCACCCCAGGAGCGTTGTCCACAGTCATTGTGTTGGCCGGCGAAGGGGCGGCAAGGTACGGCGTGTCAGGCAGCCACGAGCGGCCAATGGCGTCCAGGAAGAACGAGTTGGGTGTCAATCCCGCCCCAATGTGGTACAGCGAAGCTGGATGGGGACAAGGGGGGGCGGAACGGTCTAAATTGATCAACCAAGCACAATGTATACATCAAAAAGTTGGGCGGCAGTCCCGCCCTCATGTGGTAGAGCGAGGCTGGATGGCGTGGCGTGTGGTGTGGGGGAGGGCAGAGTGAGGGAGGGGGGTGGTTGAAAGGTGGTTAGATGGTGGAAGGGAAGGAGGGATGGGATAGGGTCCTGCTGGAAGCTGGCTGGTTAGCTTGCAGCAAGCCAACTAAAGTGCTCCCTTTCCTTTTTATGTGCCCCCCAACTACCAGTATGTGTATGTGTTTATTAGTATGTGGTCGCCCTCTGTGCATGTGTGAGCCTCGACCTACCAAGCACAACACGCATGCATGACATGACAGCAGTATGGAGCCAAGAGTAGAGCACATTTGAGGAGTGCAACAGGGGAATGCCACGGTTGGAGTGGCCTGGCCAGCAGGAGAGAGTGAGTGCTTTTGAAGCACCTAACAAAAAAAGAGTGCAACAGTGGAGTGCAACAGTGGAGTGCCATGACTGGACTGGAGTGGTCTGGCCAGCAGGAGAGAGAGAGAGAGTGAGAGCGCAGCATATACGAGGTGTGGGAGGCACAGGCATGGCATGCGTACCAAGCACAGCCATACATCACAGGTGTAGATAGCACGAGTAGAGCACAGCACAACTGTAGAGTGCAAAAGTGGAGGATTGCCATGCATGATGTGGCCTGCAGGAGAGAGTGAGAGCATAGCATTTGCGAGGTGTGTAGCACTGGTAACCATACCAAGCACAGCGGTGCTGTTCGGTGCTGTGAGGTTGTACATTCCTTTTGGGCACTCGAGCACCTGGGGGAAGGACAAAGTGAAAGAGAGAGGGTTTACGATATGAGAGTTGATAGCAGGAGAAAAAAGGGAGGGGATGGAGAGGTGAAGGGGCGGATGAGAGCGCAGCATGGAAAGGCATACACAAGAACAAGGACCAGATCTTAAGGAGATGAGCAGAGTGGCAAAGGGGGTAGGATGGGGGAGAAGGTCAAGAGCGGTGTGGGGGAGTAGTGAGGGAGGGAGTGTGTGTCTGAGAGGAAAAGAAGTGAGAGTGTGGGGGGGAATAAGTGAGGGTGTTAGGGGGTGAAAAGAGGACGTGAGAGAGGAAAAAGTAAGCGGAACAGGAGTACAACGAAGGGTTCCCGATTTTCATGACCATCCCTGTCTCCCATCCCGTCCTTACCACCATCACCACCAACAGCGCCATCACAGCAGCAGCAGCGGCGAGCATCCTGACACTTACAGAGATGGCGGAGATGATGGGGTCGCCGGTGTCCCCCGAGGTGAAGAACACGCCCACAGAGCCATCTGTCTTTTGAAGAGCCTCAAACATCACCACACCAACGGCAGCATCAGGAGTGGCATCACCACACCAACATGGTAGCATCTTACAGAGATGGCGGAGATGATTGGGTCGCCGGTGTCTCCCGAGGTGAAGAACACGTCCACAGAGGCGCTGTCTTTTGAGGCACCTCAAATCAAACATCATTACACCAACCCAGGCAGCAACGTTCCAGCATTGGCATGATCTTACAGAGATGGCGGAGATGATGGGGTCACCGATGTCCCCCGAGGTGAAGAACACGTCCACAGAGCCGTCTGTCACCGGCACATACACCTCCACCACATGGCCCCGAACCACATCGCCCTCCACAGCCCCGCCGCTGCTGCTGCTGCTGGTGCTGTTGGCGATGCTGCTGGTGCTGTTGGCGATGCTGCTGGTGCTGTTGGCGATGCTGCTGGTGCTGTTGGCGATGCTGCTGGTGCTGTTGGCGATGCTGCTGGTGCTGTTGGCGATGCTGCTGGTGCTGTTGGCGCTGCTGCTGGTGCTGTTGGCGCTGCTGCTGGTGCTGTTGGCACTGTTGGTGATGTTGGCGCTGCTGTTGGCGCTGCTGTTGGCGCTGCTGCTGATGCTCCTATTGTTCCTGCGCTTGTTGGTAAGCCTGGTGCTGATGTTGGCGCCGGTATTGGCGCTGGTGTTGCTGCCACTTCCGGCAGCAGTACTGCTGCTGCTGGCTATGCTAACAAGGTCACTGTTCGTGACCGTCGAAACAACCTTGGCAGCACTGATACCACTGAAACCCCGCCCAAAACCACCGCCAGCAGCCCCAGCAGCAGCTGCGCGGGTGCGATCCACAGTGGGGAACCGTTGCCCGATGGCAAACGCAGGCAGCACCTCGGTTCCCTCCACGCTCACATTGAACCGCCTTGCTCCTGGCACTCGGTTCACAAGCTCTGCAAAGTACAGCCGCACCACGTAGTAGGCAGGTTCGGGCACAGGGAGAGAGTACCAGAGAGTGAGTCCATCCCGCGCGTTGAACGCCCTGGCGGATTCGAATACGGGCGCCATGAGGGCTAGAGAGGGGTCGGAGAAGGTGAGGAGGGTTTTGGCTTCGGTTGAGGGAGGGGTGATTGGGATGGTGTCTGAAGGTGTCGTGGTGGTGTTGTTCTTGGGGGAGGGTATAGGTATGCTGGAAGGTGTGCGGGATGGAGCAGCGGTGGGTGGAGAGCTGGTGCTTGTGGTGCTGTTGGTTGTGAGGCCGTTGGTTGCTGTGCCGTTGGTTGCAGTGCCGTTGGTTGCAGTGCCGTTGGTTGCAGTGCCGTTGGTTGCAGTGCCGTTGGTTGCAGTGCCGTTGGCGGCAGTGCTGTTGAAAGTGCTGACAATAAAGTCAACAATCGAGCCGTTGCTCCTTCCACTGGTACCATTCCCTGCAGCACTACTCCCGTTCCGCTGCACTCCTGCCAACGGCCGTATGCCCATCAAGGGCGCTGAGCTGCTGCTGTTGCTGCTGTTGCTCCGGTTGCCAGCAGCAGCAGGAGTGATAGTGAAGGGCGCGCCGAGGGTCATGAGAGGGGCATCGGAGGTCCAAGTGATGGCAGTGCTGTCGGCGAACCAGAGGGTGGTCACGTTGGGTCCTCCGCAGTTGATGAACAATCCGGCTGCAGGATTTGATTCGAATGAGGTGAGAGAGGAGGGGAGGGGAACGAGTAAGCGGAGAGGAGAGAGAAGACAGAAGAGGGGATAAAAGTGAGGGGAGGGGGAAACTGGAGAGGGTAGCAGATAGGCGGGAGGCAGGAGAGAGGGGACAGGAAAACGACCGGGGAGAGAGAAGAGCAGTCGCAAATTCTAGATTACATTAGGAGAGGTTCAGGACAAGAGGAGGGCTTTGGAGTGAATTCGGTGGCTCACCTTGCATCTTGGCGAACCAACTTCTGAGGCGCCTCAAAACGACTTTTGAGGCGCCTCAAAAGTCAGCAGAGAATGGATGTACTTTGAAGAGGACTTTGGGGTGGATTCGATAGCTCACCTTGCAGGTTGGCGAGCCACTCGGGGTTATCTGTCGTCCTGGACTTTGTGAAACCAGGATTCACGACTCGCCCTTCCTCCAACTCCCACACCACCCCCCCACCCCCTCCCTCTCCACTGCTGCTGCTGTTGCTGCTGCTGCTCCTGTTGCTAGTTTTTGCGGCGTTCGCTTGACCGTGAAACGCAGCAAGCACCACAAGAGTGGTAACCAGCACAAGAGTTGGAATCGGGCTTGTTTTGAAGCGCCTTGAGGCGTGGATAGCAGGCAATTGATGAGAAGTTGCAAGACCCATGGAAAGCATTGGCTGGTCAGCAGGAGCGAGGAGACTTTCACAACTCCTGAAAAACTTCAATCTCGCTGTGATCAAAGCCTTGCTCGTGGCACAAAGCTCGTTAGTGCGCTCGAGCGAGCACAGGCTTGATAATGACGTGCGTGCGGGGAGTAAGCTGTCTCAAGCTTCTAAAGAGAGCACACAATTCGGATTGATGTCCGTGTGCGTGTGGCCTACACGAGCCCCCTCTATCCCTCTGAAGCTATGGAGTCATGAAGTGGTATGTTGAACAAAGAGTTCCCGATCCTTAGGTGCTTCTCTTCTCTCTCGTGGACGCTATTACGGCTGGTAAACTAGCTGGACCGTTCTCGCATGGAAGGCGGATATCGGAGATTGCTACTTCGGGAAACAAGTAGCTACAAGGCTACGTTGGACCTGGCAATCCTTAAAGAAAGGTCGGGCAAAAATATCGTCAAGAGAACTTGTATGAGATATGTGCGACACGACAGAGACGGGGAGCCTGGGGAGCTGAGGGGTTGGGGTCTAGACTAGGATGTTGATTACAACCGGAACGCTGGCAGCTGGCAGCCTCGTTCAGGATACTCGCGCGGGCTTGGATTGGGCAAAAGTAACGAATTTGAGGATGTCACGGGCCGCAGTCTAGCGAGGTATGTACAGTAGTTAAATAATGCGAATGCGTCTGGTGAAAAGGCTACGAATACGCTGGGGAGCAACCTAGAGACGCTTGAGGGTCACGGCGGAGGAGAGCGGTGAGCAGAAGGCAGCGAAATCGAGAGCGTGGCTTGAAATTGGACCAAGGAGGCCAAGTCTTTGGAGAGCAGTGAAGCTGCGAGGCGCCAAGAGCGCGTCTCCCTACCCATGGCAGTTGCTTCTCAGACATTTACCTCACGGGAAAGAGTGCAACGGATTTAGCAACCGCTTCTGCTGAGCGATGGAGGTCATAGAGCAGTGGCAGTATTCGCATCAATACTCGCCGCCTCGCTCGTTCATACCTCTTCATGACAAAGCTGGAAGTTACCGCATTCAAGCAGGGTGTGGTGGGGCACTGAACTGAACTGCTGCTGCCCAGAAGACGCTGGTTCACCTTCCATATTTGATCCTGAGCTATGGTCGGGTGTGCAGGATCACCGCCGCGACCACTTGCCGCTTCATCTTCCATGTTCCCTTCGTTACGGTTTGCTTCAGGAATCTATACTAAGATTTTCTGAACATCTGAAACTTCTTATCTATTGTGCCTCCTCTACTTACTTTTTACCATAATAGGTGCCACAAATCAGAGTGCTAGTGCAGCCTTCAAACCAGGTAATGATACCACCAGTCGCGTGTCAGGCAGGCCCTCAGGGTTTGTTCCCTGAAATTCTTGATTTTCGGCATACTTTTTTGTACCTACACTGATTTTTCAGTCTCTTGATTTTAGTGACTGATTAATCAGCCTTTATTTCATAGTCAACACTGATTTATCAGCATTTTATCGAATGTGTACACTGAATGCACATTCCCCATCCTTTCTGCAAAACACTGAGATTACGGGGACTCCAACATTTCTGCAGTGGGTTACCAGCATGAACTGTCTCAGTTCATTACCGAAGTGAAAGATCCCAGGTTCAAGACCCTTTGCTACCATGTTTCATAAATGCTGCATGAATAATCTAATATGTTTGTGTAGAAATCGGGCTTTTCTTTTTAGTAACTCTGAATATTCAGGCCTTTTTTTCTACGAAGGCTGTCAGTCAGCCTTTTTTCTCACATGGACACTGATATGTCAGGGTACTTGAAAATGAATCTGAGGCCCTGGTGTCAGGACTCAGTGGAGACGTCACGAAGCTGCATTGATTCAATTACTTTCAAAATAGCTTGTTTGTCTTCCTCGAACGAGGAAATTTCTGCAAATGGAAAATGAGAAACGGGACTTGAGAAACGAGCGTGAAAAGAGCCCCTGTGCAGCGCATGCGTTGTGGTCGGAAAATCCCAAAGATATACCTGCTTCTGTTCCTTTCTCAAGTGTCAGGGCTGGCAGGAAACGAAGCAGCTTATCTTTGTTCTTAAGAAGGATCAGCTGAACATCTTGTGGCTGCTTCGGGTTGGCCACAATCACCTAAAAAAACACAGTGGGTGGATGAGTGTTACAATCAAGGTATCGAGATTGAAGTTGCACCTCCTTGGTATGACATTTGACACTACACACCTTGAAGATGTGAAACGCATCAACTTGAATCACTTTACTTGTATCCTGGAATAAAAAAGAGGGAAAAGCTTCATACATCAAATAAATGGCCGCAATGGAAAAAGATGCAAGCCCATCGAGCCACCGATTACCCTCAGGAGGTTCATGGATACAATCAGGTTGTTGACATCACTCGCAAATCTCAAGGTCACCATGACATAGGCACGATCCAGAAGCATGTCTGCCAAAAGCTGTAAACAGACAAATAGTATAAAAAAGTTGGCTCCAAAAGAATTACCAGGTTGTAGTGAAGAAAGGGATAGACAGCAACAGGCACAAGAGAGAAAGGAAGAGTTCCAGAGGATAAAATGACATCAAACGAGGTAAAAGACGAGATGAAATCAACCTTGGTTGCAACACGCCTCGTAATGTAGGAAGATGACTGCAACAACTTGGTGTACGCTTCAAAAAACTGCAACAGGAAAGCATGAGATGGCTTTAGTCCAAGTCATTAAGGCATAACGTAGAGCAGGCTTGATTCCAGCATTCAATCATTTGCCTTGGCATAATTCCTCAATACAAAATCAGCTGCTGTGGCCTTGTGTCGCATCAAGAGCTCCTGCGAACACAAAATACTCAAGATGCTCAGTAAGTCAGAGGTGCGTGAGAAAAGGAGAGAATAGCCAGTGATAAACAAGGATGTACCCTAAATGTTGCAGCAGCATCAGAAGAAACTTCAAAACTGGGTAGTTCGACATGGAGGAAGAACTTGAAAAAGTCTTTGCTCTCCAAGACGTACCTGCAACGAAAAAACTCAGTCATCATCAAGCAGGCAATGCCACTAACGGAACAACCGCACGCTTCAACCTGATGCATACTATGCAACCGATTGGTGGCGAATGCATTCCCGAAGCATCAAGCCGTAGTAGAGTGCCAGAACTGGATCCTCGTATCTGCATCAAAATGAGTACATTATGTGAGCCCTCCACCAGCACTGTCTTGATGCCGATTCGACCATACCCTTTTATGAGAAGGTCCAGAAGGTCCGTGTGTTGCATAAGGTACTCGCCCGCAACCATGCGATTTTGAATTTGCCTCTTTTGCAGGCTCGCATTGATATGCACCGCATACCGTTTTGACTGCACACAATAAATGCCAACTATCAATACAACTTTCAGCACCTCAAATTCACAGGACAGGCGAATAAGCACACCAACGGCAACACTTACATCAAGAGACAGGGAACCAATGTTCCTAATGAGAAGTTCCAAGAAATTCCCCTTAAACACCTCTGCTCCCACGAGAGTCACAGCGTCTGCGTTCGGGAACGTCTCAGTATCCCCGTACAACACTATACGAATATCATACAAATGCTTCTCCAGGTCTTCGACGATCTGAAATTTCAAGAAAGCAAAGAATCTAAGATGGCAATCGTAATGACATTCACAAGCTCATGAGAGCTCTGCATACCTTCGCTGTTTTTTTGGGATCTTGGGAGCTTCGCAGTAACGTCAGCAGCTCAACGGTCGACTTCACAAGCTCGGCAGGCGACTTCGGCTTGCTCGACTTAAAAATGTTCCTCATACCTGGTGATGCTAGGAATTTCGACATCTTCAAACAGTTTCGCTTCTCAAGGTCAAACCACTAACGCCAGTCAAATGGGCTTTCGCAGATAAATGACTTGTCGGCGGAACGCACGGTCCAGGCCAATGCAGCCTAAACGCATTCTATATGTCAGGAGAAAACACAGTGGTCCATGAGACTAAGCGCAGACAGCTCCATTGACAACCTAAAGAGCTGGCCACCAAGAGGCAAGCACATCAGATATGGGTGAAGTCACTCTTCGCATTGAACACATCTCTTTAGAATACCTCTGAATCATTTATTGAAGAGACCCCAATTGCCTACACCCACCCTCACGATGGGGGTTTAGGGTTACAGGGGGTTTTACTGTTCATTCTGCACAGCACTTCCAACCTTATCATCACCTTTATCTTCAGAGAATTCCTAGTGCAACTTAGCACTCTAGTTTCCTACTGTTAAGGGGGGATTTACTGTTCTCTTTGAACAGTACTTTCCCAACCCATCCAACTCATCCTGATCCTTATCTTCTTGGATTTCCTAGTGCCACGTGGCACTCTACTTTCTTTGCCTTGTAGTTCCTAGTCTCACAACCCACTTTCCCACAATTGCTCTTCCACGCTAGATCAACATTGCTTGTATTCCCTCCTATCAATCAATTCTCATTCAACTCTTCAATTACTCAGTTACTTCTTCGCCTATTTCGCCAACACTCTCTTTCGCCAAAGTCTTCCGCCGCGCTTTCATCCTCGACTTAGTCAACCCCGCTAATCTTTAGCGGATTTAGGCCAAGGGGCCTAACACTTGGTATCAGCGCCTTCGTTGGGAGCGACTTCCAACGAGCGACCGTCGACGACGGAACTACGACGTCATCGTCCCGCGGTGCATCATGGACGTACGGGCGACGTCCATGACCATGCCAATGCGGCGCTCAGCAATCCCATTTTGCTGTGGAGAGTCCGGAAGCGTGAAGGTCTCGCGGATGCCTCGTGCACGACAGTAGGCTCGCAGAAGGCCAGAGGAGAACTCTCCACCTCTGTCAGAGTGCAGACGCAGAACAGGAAAGTCCGAGCCGAAGCTCTGCCTGAGCTGGAGACGAGCTGCGCGGATCCAGTCGATCAACACCTCAGTGACATCACCCTTGCTGCGCAAGGGGAAGACTGTGGTGTAACGCGAGTAGTCGTCAACCACCAGCAGGAAGTAGCGCTCGTGACCCTGTCCACGGACGCGGGCCGGGCCCCACACGTCCATGTGAAGCGTCTGCAGCGGGGCCTCTGGTTGATGTTATTGCTGAAGGATCGTAGTGGATAGAATAAAGCTGCCAAGTATACTAAGAGAGATATGACGTCTCTGTAATGACCTTGTTAGTAAGTTGAGAGAGAGCAAGATAGTTATAAGATAGGAGTACATGACTATAAATAGTAATCCAAGCTAGCCATGTACTCTGAGGGGTACATTCCCTTATTAACTGATTTGCATTGCTACAGTAACCATGGCTATTGCCATTCTGGACAGTTACCACGTTGCACTTCGTAACTGTTTTGTGCGGTTACTTGGGCAGTCAAGGGTCACGACCGTTGACTGTCTTCGACTGTTGACCTTCGGGTGACCCTCGACCTTCCGCGTGCTCTATATGAGCTATTGAGGTATTGATACAGGCACTTACTTCGTTATGACGTGAGGCGAGAGTGGAGAGCCTTCGGGAATGCTTATGATAACTCTTCGGATATTCCAACACTCCCCTTCATTCCTGAAGGTGAGCCATGTGGGACTTCTTGGTGATCCCGCAGAGATTGGCGCAGTGCTGAAACTGTTGACGTGGCAGTTTCTTTGTCAGAAAGTTGGCCGCCATGTGACTAGTTGGGCAGTACGTGAGCTTGACCTTGCCTTTGTCAATTTCATCTTTGACAAAAAAATAGCGAAGGGCGATGTGTTTCGTACGGTTCACGAAGCTGGGCTTGTTCGCGATCTTGATCGTGCTCTGGTTGTCGCAGAGTAATGTGAAGTTCCCGTTCATCGTTACTTTCCCATCCTGCAGGAGCTCCATCAGGTACAGTCCTTGGCGAACAGCTGCGCTAGCGGCGATGAATTTGGCTTTGGCTGACGAAAGGGCGATGATTTCCTGCTTCTCAGAGTTCCATGAGATGAGTCCAGCAGGTTGAAGCTGAAAGATGAATCCTGTGCGGGAGCGTCTGTTGTCAACATCTCCTGCATGGTTTGCATCTACGTAGCCATGCAACTGTAGGGTAGCCGATAAGTTAGCTTCGTAGGTGAGGCCGATGTCGGGAGTGGAGACGAAGTATTGAAGTGCTAGGCGTAGATCCAGCAGATTCTCCCCTTCAGGTCGCTTCAGGTACTGAGCGAGCTGGCTTGCAACGTAGGAGAGATCAGGCCGGCACGTGACGGCGGCAAATAGGAGGCACCCCTGCTGCTGCTAATAGAGCCGATGATCTTCGAGAGAGAGGGGCGCGGTGTCTGGTTCGTGGTTAGGATGAGGGGTGCGAAAGGGGTAGTGAGGTTGATGGGTGCGATGCCGAATTTCTTTTCGAGTGTTTCGGCATATTTGGCGGCGGAGAGATGGATGGAGGTGGCGGACTGGGTGATGTTGAGACCCAGGAATTGTGTAACGTCTTGATTGATTGTGACCTCCAGCTTCTCCTTGATGTCCGCTTCGAACTGGTCCAGGAGCTTCGTGTCGTCATCGGTGTAGAAGAGGTCGTCGACTAGGAGAAAAAACTTGTTGCGTGACTCCTTCCGGTACATGCTGAGGTCGTGGGGCAGCTGTTTGAAGCCGACCTCCGTGAGTACCGTGTGCAGGTACTGCTGCCATAGGCGGGGTGCTTGCTTGATCCCGCAGAGGGATTTATGAAGTAGGCAAACGGCACCGTCATTTTCTTCAAAGGCATGCGGCTGCTCGACGAAGATGATGGTGTCGACCGGAGCGTACAAGAATGCACTGCCGATGTCGATCTGACGGAGTGGGCGCTGTTTGACGGCTGCGATGCAAATGAGGATCCGCACTGAAGTATGCCGCCCGGCAGGTGCGTAGGTGAGATCGAAGTCCACCAGGCGAGTTTGTTCAAAGCCACGTACCACCCATCGTGCCTTGTATTTGTCGATGGAGCCATCCGCAAGTGTTTTAATCCGAAAAAACCCATTTTTCACTGAGAAATTTCCTCCCCTTTGCAGATGTTCAAGGAACTAGCTTCCATGTTCCACGGCTCTTAAGTGCCGCGACCTCCTTGGCCATGGCTGCCTTCCATTTCTCACTGTCAGGCCCAGAGGGGGCTTGGCGAACGGTGGTGGGCTCCTTGGGGGAGTTATGGCGAACGGCGACTGCGAGCCCAAGGATGCGGAGGCCGGTTTCGTTGGTCTTTTCATAGTGGAGGCGATCGTAGTCGTGGAAGCTGGTTACTTCGACCACGTCGTCGCCACTGTCGTTGCTCGGGCGGAGGGAGTCTCGCGAGGTGTTTGGTGGTGGTAAGTCGGCATCAGGGGATCGGCCGGCCTCGCTTTTAAAGATGTGGGCCTCACGAGTTGTATCGTCGGGGTTGAAATGGTGTACAAGTATGAAGGCTGGAGTCTGGAGTGGGCTTGTAAGGGGGATGTTGGGTGCGCTGTCAAACTGGGTAACATTTGATGCATCCACATCTTCCGCTAGGTCAGCTTCATTGTGTGGAGTTGCGAGACTGCGATGTCCCTCGAAAACCTTTCCGTTGCAGCGTCAGCTTTGCGGTGTTCGTTGAGCAATGGCAGAGTCAGCTTCTCGTAGAAGATGCAGCCACGTGATTTCGTCACCTCGTGTGTCGCGTAGTCCAGCACGATCCATGCCTTGTATTCTTTTTCGATTCCGATGTGTATGCCCCAGCGAGCCCGGTCAGCAAACTTTCCGGTTCTTGCCGTGTGTGGCCTGTACTGTACCATGCAGCCGAACACCCGAAGCAGACATGTGTCTGCTTTTCTGCCCATCCAGGCTCTGTAGGGAGAGTTGTTGTTCTCGAGGCTTCGTGAGGACAGCAAGTTGTGCAGCCGGACTGCATGGTTCCTGGCGAACGACCAGTACCTGGTTGGGATGGCCGACTGCTTCATCAGGGCCCTCATCTTGGTGGCGAGACTCCTATTTGTCCGTTCTGCTACTCTTTGTTGCTCGTGAGCGTAGGGAAGGGACACCAGATGTTCAATCCCTTTCCGCTTGAAGAGCTCCTTGAACTCGTCTGAGAAGAACTCCAACGCTCCGTCCGTTTGCCAGCACTTTAATTTGAGCCCTGATTGTCGTTCGGCCCGCTTCATCCAGGCAATGAAGCACTCGAAGGCGAGAGATCTGCAGTTAGTGTTGATAGCCCAGACGTAGTGAGTGCTTGCGTCGATGAAGTTAAGCGTGTAGAGTTTGCCGTCGAGCCCTCCCTGGCTTATAACCATAAAGTTGCTATAGACCTTGTCGAGCGGTTTGTAGCGTTCATAACCAGGCGGCAAGTCGGGAAAGGGCTTGTGGGCGAGTGACGCAGCGGGGCACACTGTGCATGGCGGATCTTGCAAGTCTGCGGTAAGGGAGCCTCCGGGGGGAAGGAGTAGTGCTTCGTCGTCAAAGACGCCAGCCCGCAGGGAATTCTTGAGTGTTATGTGAGAAGGGTGACCGAGCCGTTAATGCCAGGTTTCAGGTTCCGCACGGTAGCCGACCGTCTTCTGATAATATTTGTTTCTTGTTGCTGCGTCGTTTTGCTCCTTTCCAGGTCCTGCATCGGCGGCGTCGTCGGTTTCTGCGGCGAAGGCTTGAATGGATTTCCGTTCCAGAAGCGTGTGGGGAATTCCCAAT